TGGACTGCAGTTTCGACCTCGCATTGGTCTTATCAACACCCTCAGCGGGATTCGAACCGCGACAGTGAATGACGGTAGCTTGACACGCTAACAACTCGAAACCCTACTAACTTACGAATATAATTATTTTTATATTTTATTTCTGCAACCTGCTAAATACAGCCTAATGAAACTATTCAATTTTTTGAACTTGTTGCTAAATAAATAAGTTTTCGTTTTCCATCACTTTGTTTATTAGTATAGTAAGTTATAATAAGCTACCTTCCTATTACACAGTTTAGACTTAGAATGAACAGCATGCACAGCAAAGTGCATATAGTTGTAGATATGAATAATAACTGGGTTTCGATTAATCTTCTAAGATAACATTATTGTTGGGACTTTCATTTCGTTAGGTAGTGTATGAAGAAGAGATTCGAAGGTCGATCTCACCAGAAGAGGACGGTTGAATCCTATTGTACTGAAACCACTCGACGTTGAAATTGATGCAGTCCAAGAGACCCCTTCCCTCTTTGCAGGTGAATACAGGATGAACCTTCGTCCATCATATGTTGGACATCATCAGAGTTGGGACTCATTCTTGTAAAATTATGAAGCTGATGCTAACACAAGAATATGATCCGGCTCTATCTTACCTCTTATATAGTCTCATTTAGGCAAAACAGAATTTAAAAATAGATCGATATCGAATGGTTTTATTAATTATTTTTTGGTTAACATTTTAGATGGTAGCTCAATGCCTCTACTTTTAATTTATCAATCAAGAATAAGTAGTTCCTAATTAACTTTCCACCACCGTTATTCACATTCAACGTACTTCCTATTCTATTAATTGCAGTAGCTTCTCTTATTTTTCTTTTAACCACATACATATGATAATCCGCAAATATACTAGTTTGAAACCATTTAATCTTATGACCAGTTTATACCATGTGTTAAGCTACTTCTGATAGTTGAACCCAACTTCCTTTACGAGCATTTTTGTGTTTCTTCAATCTTTGTCAAATAGGTCGGCATGTCTAACCAACAAACAAAATAACACATGAACAAATAATCTTGTAGCTGCCGGATTTGATATGGGTCATATTTTTCCTTAAAAGATGATACAACAGAAGGAATTGTGAGGGTTTCTTTAAGCATTGTTCTTATTCCCCACTTTCTTACTAATTCGCCTATCTTTTTTGAAACAAGATATGACGATAGAATTAGGACATGGGAAAGGTCTCGGTTTGTTTATGTTTGAGTAACTGGTATTCGTCTGAAAATTTATTTTTTAATAAAGAGGCATTATTCTCAATAAGTCCCGAAGGATAATTATTTTCTTGGAACAAATTCGTTAGCTGTCCAATTCTTTAATCAAATGTTTGTTATCCGCTATCTTCATACTCATAATAATCATTGATTTTAAAATTCTAACCTTAATTTTGTAACTATGGTTGGAAAGAAAATTTAGCAGAGTCAACATGTTTATTTCCTATAAACATCTATCTAATTTACCTTTTTCTCTAATTATGAGAACATCTAGAGAGGGTAAGGAATTATTCTCTTACATTTTTATTGAGAAACTAATATATCTTTCGCACTGGTTGAGCGGAAGTAGTTAACTATCTAAACTTTCCTTACTATGAGGCCAGATGATTAAATAGTCATCCATATATCTAACCGACATTTTGTGGTTTAGTATTGCCTCTTTCAGGAAGCGTTTATCTAGTCTTGCCATATAATTGTTCGCTAAAATGTGAGCCAGGCAAGACCTTATCTCAAATCCTTGTTCTTGTTCGTATAACTTACTATCAAAGTTAAAATATGTGCTATTCATGGATAGATTAATAAGTCTAATTTTGGACGCTACACTCAGCCTTATTCCTCGTGTTATCTCTGGATGCTCCTCCAGAGTTTTTATCAAGGCTTGAATAGCTCCTTGATAAAGAATGTTCGTTAACATAGATACAAATTCAAAATTTACTAGCCTATACTCTTCTGAAAGTGTCTTTTGATCAATCAATTTCACAAATTCATAAGAATATTTAATTGAATATAGCCAAAAATTGGATCTCTCAATAAAGGTATATATGTTTCAGTATCATTTAAATGAACTAGCATTTTTTCTATATAATTTGGCCTAAACATGATTACCACTGCTCCGCAGGTTGATCTTACACATTTCCTTTAACCAACATTATATTTAAACTTAAAAGTCATTTAAGTTTTTTCTCATATATGCGATGTAATAACTGTCTGAATAACCAGATTCTGTAGTCTTTACTTTAGTCTCATTCTCCGTTCTCTGTTTCGACTTAGTTTGGCCCTATTTTCTCAACTTTTTTGTGTTATCAGCGTAACCTTGGTGATTGCGCCTTGTCAAGGGTCCTCTGCTATAGTGGTCATGATAGTTTTCATATGCCGGCAAAACGTCTAAGAAAATTGCCAAGTTCACTTTCCGACATTACAAAATATCATTAATGCTATGATAGAAGACTCCGTACATGGTACTTTCATCTATTTCCCCCAGATCACACGAGTAAGTTGAGGAGACGTGGCCAAGCCATTTAACTTAGTCTTTAAGTTACCTTAAGAGACCTAGATTGATTACAATATCTTTTAAAACCAATTACTTATAGTCTCAAAACATATTCGCATATACTCTAAATTATTTAAATATATTATTGAATATTCTGAATTCTTAGTAGACAATATTTCCCTAGCATCAAAACAGTCTTCTTTTTTTATTTTTACCCAGATCTTCGCATTGTTCGCTCTTTGGAGTCCTTTTCTCCCTTCTACAGGCATGGCATGGTTCATTGCCTTAATCGACATGCTCGACCAAGCCAAGTATCTCCGCCAGTTCCGCGGCTGCCCAAACCATCCTGTCTTGGCAACTCACAAGCAGAAATTGCGCCTTCATCCACTGTCTTGGCTCAAATTCGCATATGGTTTGCCAGTTATGCGCTCGCTCATGCGACCGAATTCAATAAGGTTGTAGATAGGAAGCCTCGAACTAGA